ATTCTCTTATTTCTACCTGATAACTAACTGCTTTGTAGTGGTAGTTACATGTTAGCAGAAAATCACTCCGATTTAGTCAAGTACAATTTTAGATCTGGACTTTAATGTAAATTAAAGAAGCAGGGTGTTGGCCATGCTCATGAAGTCAAGCAGTATCAAATACATTTTCCAGTAACTTAACCTTTTAGCCTGTATTACCTAAAATCCTGCTTTGAAATTAAGTTTGACAGCAGTAAAATGGCTTTGCTGAGCTCTTTGTAGTCACTGGCAGCTACATAGATTAGCACACTTCCTAATTTCCCTGCTAATGTGATCTTGATTAATAGACAATTGTTCTTCCAGTTTCCTCATTCTCTACAACTTTGTTTGAAAACCTTTTGGCAGACACAGCACAAGCACTTTGTTTGAGTGCAGTGGAATCTATCACTGAGGTCAGTAAAATGTTGAAACGTATGCCTTAAAAAGACAAAAACATGAGGGACACCTTATGCTGATCCCCTCCCTTTTGCCTTCAAAATTGCCTTAGCTATTTATAGAATAGATTTAACAAGCTGTTGAAAACATTTCTTTAGAGATTTCGTTTCATATTGACATGTCAGCATCACACAATTGCTGCACATCCATAATGCGACACTCCCATCTTACCACAATTCAAAGGTGCTCCAGTGGATTGCTATCTTGTGACTGTGTAGGTTATCTGAGAACAGCTGAGCTTCTGCTGGTATAACCAAGTATTTCTGCTGGAATAACCATCAGTAAATGGGTGCACTGTGGTCATAAGGTGGCGGAAATATTCAACAATATTCAGGTGTTCCAAAAAATACCACCACCAGCAGGCTGAAGTCAACTGAATCCGTGTTTATCTTAAATTCTGACCAAACCATCCAAAAACTGAGACACATCAGACCAGGCAATGTTTTTTCAGTCTTCTGTTGTTCAGTTTTGCTCAACCTCTATAACTACTCTATAACAACTATAGCTTCAGACTCTTGTTCTTAGCTGAAAGGAGTAGTTCCTGATGTGGTCTTCTGCTGCTATAGCCTGTCTTCTTCAAGGTTCACTGTTGTCCATTTAGAGATGCTGTTCTGCATACCTTGATTGTAGCGAAAAATCATTGGAGCTACTATTCCCTTTCGATCAGATCAAAGCAAGCTGGCCTTTTTTCTGCTGCTCAGTGAATATTTTCTCTTTCTCTGACCATTCTCTGTAAACCCAAGAAATGGTTGTGTGGGAAAATCCCAGCAGAGCAGCAATTTATGAATCACTTAGACCAGCCTGTCTCGTACAAACAGCCATACAATTTTACTAAATCACTTAAATAGCTTTCTTCCCCATGCTCAGTTTAAACTCAGCTGGTCATCTTGACCATATCGACATCACTAAATGCATTGAGTTGTGGCCATTTGATTAGCTGCTTAGTCAGTCGCATTAATGAGCAGTTAAACAGGTGTGACTAACAGCATTTATATTTGGTTGAATATATAAAAACAGTTGAATTTGTGAGCAATAAATTGCACCATTATTTACCCAGGCATTTTTGCAGCTTATCGTGGCTAGCGTTAGCGAATGTTAGCAAAGATAGACAGTACCTCTCGGCTCTCTTACTGGGAAATCAAGCAATCCAATGAGAAGGACCGAATAACTGTCAGCTATTAGCAAAAAACTATTTTCCATTTATAGGTTTTGCTGCTAACTGTGTAAAAGATAATGACAAAATATAGCAGTGGCACAAATACAAACACAAATGCTTATCTACAGGGTTGCAATATCTAAAGGTTGAAAAGCTAAGCTAACATTTAGCATCAAAAGTCACAGGCTTTATCAGAATACAGCAGCAAAACCTTATGAGTGTACACTTTAACTTTTAAAGCCTTCAAAGAAAAAAATTATATTTATATTTTCTCACGTTTTCCTGCCTGGGAAATTTACTGATGGGAAGACAAGGTCATTCTCCCTGTCCCCCTCCCCATCACTAACTACATGTAAGCTTTCATCATTGAGATAAAAACCAAGTTACTGATTTGAGAAGCAGCTGGTCTCCAGCAGTCAGCCTCCTGGGAGATCCTCTGTCCTGTCTGTGGTTGTAGCTGGCGCTGTATGTAAAATGCGTAGACCGATTGCAACTGAGGCCACTTTCACTGAGGCCGCACCTGTTCTTGCAACCGAGCCCTGTTTGTTTACTTACCCTGCAACCGTTACTGCAAGCCTCATGCTTCACTACACAAGAAACAGCAGCTGCGTCAATTAGATTGTTTTGAAGTCCAGTAGGAGGAGTCATTTCATGCTGCATTATGGATGATGGTGATGGATGACTCTCCTTACTCCAGCTCAGGTGTTCTACCGGGTATCTCACCTGAGTTGTGGCAGGTGCTGTTTTCTCCTTTCATGTGGGAAGCCTAATGACCCATTTCTGAGGACGAACTGAAAGTAGATTTTGTCCCAACTCAGTCCTTCCTGATTTCAGGATTTCTTGCATAAGCTGTCTAATGTCTCTTCCATGCTGCACCGGTTTGTTCCAGGGGCAGCACTACTAAATGTCCTGAAGTGCAGAGCAGAAAATGTTGCAGATTTCTTTGTAATACTCTTCTGCAGACTTGTGTGGCATCACTTCTCTAAGAGGATCTTTGCTCTTAAACATTTATGTCACTTAAGTTCCTCTGTAATCTGGACCTCATCACTTCCCTGGTTGCCAAAGCAGGTCATTGGAGGAAAAAATAGATTTCTCATGAAATGTTTTGCAACCACAAAAGCACACATTTTGCTACTACAAAATATGCCGTAACACAACATTAAAAAAAGAAAGACTGGACCTGAGGCAGCTCTTTCAAAGAAATAATGATTGAGTGGGGCACCTCCTGAACTAAAAAGGAAGGGGAATTTTTGTTGTCTTTGAGTTGAGTTGAGGTTTGTCAAAGATAAGGCAGAGAAGAAATTTTCCCTTTCCACAGCACTGCCTTGCAGTGCACGATCTGTAGTAGGTGTTAATCAAAGGCTGTAGAGATTTGCATATCAGCAGTGATCTCTGCCACGCGTGAGCGAGACATTTGGTTAGTGAAATAAATGTTGGTTTGCAGGCTTGAGTCTGTGCAGCACACTGCTAAGATGTCCGGTCCCGTCTTCAGTTACAGGACATCATTTAAAAAAAGGAAAATGGGGAGAAAAGGGTCATAAATCAAATGAGCATAAAATGCAATGATTGAATAGCATTTTGAAACCATACAACCTCAGGTCTCTTCAGTCTACATGTGCAGGATGTCCTCTGACACAGGAAGCTTCATTTAAAAGTCACTGGAGGAGAAGGGAGGAGTCTGGTTTTGGTAGTGGGGTGGAGTTCAAAGAAGCTGTTTTGGTGAGTCTCACGAAGCGGGTCTTAGCCAGCGTGTCACATCTGATGATTCTCCTCCTCGCTCTTCCTTTGCCATCCAACCTGTTTGCATGTCCCCGTCAGCTCGTATGAGCAGCTCGTGTTTAGCACACAGTGAACTCATTGACCCCGGCTCTGCCGGCAATAACATCCTACAGTGTCGCCCTCCCCAACTTAGCTTCGAACTCTGTGACCTCCTCTTAGTTTCTGTTTAACAAAAAAAAAAAAAATCTAACTTGTGTACCGCTCTCTGTTTTCACTCTGTCAGTTTACAGTTTGAGGTTGAACTCATCTTTCAGCACCTTCTTATGACAACGGCACAAAAGATAATACTTGAAAAAAAAAGTTGTTCCAATTTTGCAGTTTTTTCTGGGTTTATTCCTTGAATCTACTTTGATAATTTCCACTTTGAAATAATACTTTCACTGAGAATAGTTTTATAGATTAGAAGTCATATTGTTGCCAGAAGCTTAACTTTAACCCCAAAATGTCAGAGACACACTGGGACAATCCATCTATTGTTTTGGATGAGAACATCTTTATCTCAGTGCTTTGTATATCCCTGCTGAATCCTGCGGTTGGGAACATCTGGGTTTACTAACTGCAGGGAGCTGCTTTCTTATTCACATGGGTGTTTAGGGGGAAATTCCATACTTGCACGTATTGTGTTACACTTTAGTCTTTCATTGTCCCCCCCTTCAAGCTCAGCAAGTTGCATATTAGGGTCACAGAAAGACCAGTCTGTACAGTGTGTCTGTGCCATGTCTAACTGTCTTCATGACCTCCCGACCAACACTGGTTTTCTTCCTGAGAGCATTACCACAGGAGGCGCCTACTGCATCCTTTTTGGGATACATAACATGGCATTAAAAATCTACTGAATAAGGCTTTAGGTGTGTGCATATTTGGACGAGGACAAATTTGACCACATACAAAAAAGAGAGCAGCTCAGTGATCTCAATGAGCTCTTTCAGAGGTGTAATTTTCGATGATGGCCACAGGCAAAATTAAGCAGTGATGTTTTTTTTCTGTAACGTGTCTTCCAAATTACCCTGTTTTTTGTTGTTGTTTTTTTCCTTGTTTTTTCACTGTTGTTTTTCACTTTGGATCCAAAGCGAACGGTGTTGTTGTTGCTGCTGCTGGGCTGCGCTGATTAAAGTCAGTGGAAATCACAGGAAACATGATTATAGTCCGCAGTGAGGAGAGATGGACACCCTAGTAAGCTCTCTCGTGGGCCTTCAAAACAATACAAGCAGTTAAAGCATGAGAAAAACTGATGAATATAACGTAAAAGTCAGAATGTATTCAGAAACAGGAAAAATGTGAGAAAAAAAAAAAGCAGACCAAGTGAAGAAACTAACGAGAAGTTTCTTTGGTCAAATTTTGCACTATTATACTATAGTGTAATATGAATTGTCATCTATCTTTGTCACACTTGTGTCCAACATTGATCACCGCTTCCCTCTTTCATTGAATAGGTCCTGTGTTTCTGGAGAAAAGAGTCTCTTAAGTTATGTTGCTGACGATACTTTATTTTGTTCAGTATCATATTCAGTGACAGGCACTGATTTATTAAACTGACCAAGATATTTGTGTGAGGGAAAACTTACAAATGAATCACTTTTCTCCCATTCAGAACTCCATCAGACACAACCTGTCCCTGCACAGTCGCTTTGTGCGCATACAGAACGAGGGAACAGGAAAAAGCTCCTGGTGGATGCTGAACCCAGAGGGAGGAAAGAATGGAAAGTCACCTCGACGCAGAGCTACCTCCATGGACAACAGCAATAAGTTTGTCAAGAGTAGAGGAAGAGCCGCAAAGAAAAAGGTCTCTGCTCCTGAACTCAACCTTCATAGATATTTCAGCCAAATGTTTGTTTTTTAAATTCTGTTGAATCTAGATTACATGTACTCAGTGTTCTTGTGTTCTACTATCTCTAGATGGCTCTACAGGAAGGGCTTGAAGGAGGAGCAGGCAGCCCCAGTTCCCAGTACTCTACCTGGCTTGGAAGTCCAAACTCCCACAGCAACGAAGATTTTGACACCTGGAAAACCTTTAGGACGCGTACCAGCTCTGATGCCAGTACTCTGAGTGGTCGCCGTTCACCTTTCCCTTCTGAACAGGATGATGTGGGCGAGTCCGATGGCCACATAATGTATCCTGGAGTTGCTGGTGCTAAGATAACCTCTACCCTGCCCAGCCTGTCTGAGGTGTCTGGATCCATGGGCCAGCATCGCTCAGAAAAGGTCATGGATCTGCTGGATAACCTTAACTTGCTGTCTCCTAAACCCTCCCAGCTCAGCTCTGACTCCTCACACTCCCCGCGCTCCTCAAACGCCGGCATGCTTCAGAGTAGCCCCTATAACTCCACTGGACTGACCCCACACCAGCAGCAGGACTACCAGAAGTGCTTGTATAGTCAGGTGAGAATGCACTCCCTGTCCCCTGCTCCTATGCAGACACTTCCAGAGACTAAGCCCAGCTTTGGGGCTTACGAGAACCAGTATATCTTCCCTTCTGGGCTGCTGACAGGAGAACCAGACACCAGAAGGGACATGATGCACTCTGAAGGTGGGAGGGCAAGTTGTCCAATACCTACTTATAGCAGCCAAAGCCATGTGGGTGGTCATAATGGAGTAAAAATGATGAATCCCTCTCAGAGTCACCCACTTCCTCGTGTAAATCCACATACTCTGCATAGCCAGGGTCCAGCTGCCTCACAAGACTTGAATAGCTGTAACATGATACGCCTGACTAGTCATTCAGGGCCCTCTCTTCGAATGGCTGGTCCAAGAATGTGCATGCAGCTCCCCCTCGGACTCCCTCCACACACTAATGATGCCTCAGTGACCTACGGCAGCAGCAACAGCTACAGAGAACTCAACTCTGTACACCCACACAGTCATCATCATCAAGAGCACCTACCCAGCGATCTGGACAGTGTGCCTACTGAAAGGTTTGAATGTGACTTGGAGTCCGTCCTCCATGACACACTCATGGATGGTGGGGGGCTGGACTTTAATTTTGATCCAGCAGCTGGGCCTCATGGGTTTTCCCAGAGGGTGAAGACGACCACACACAACTGGGTGTCAGGGTAGCATCGCAGAGAGGTGAGACTGATCATTAGTCTGCCCTTAATTTCTTATACATATTACATTTTATTACAGATAACAAACATAAACACCCTCAGAGTGTTTGTCATCCCTGAACATTTTCCATGTCATTCACCCCCGCAGGTTTTTCTCCACATCACTCTACTGCTCACCTTCATTCAGAGAGTGGAATCCAAAGAAGCTTTCACCATCATTATCCAGAGATCAGAAGAGGTTTTTGAGTCATGTCCTAAAGCAGAAATAAGATGCAACAATCACTGCAGTGAATATAAAACAGAGAGACAAGCCTGCATAAGTCAACTAGCGTTGGTCTCAGCTACCTATCAAAAACTGTATGTATGTTCAAAAGTATGTATAATACATAAGAAGGAACCACCATAACACGAATTTGTCTTTGTGCTACAATCACACACGGGAAAACAATGACTGGAGAATGCAGAATGACCAAGATTACTGCAACTGTGTACAACGAACGCGTGAATAAGTTCAAGTTTGAATTTGTTGCTTCAGAGACAGGCACCAGGTCTGCAACCACTTGCAGCCAATAGCCGTAAATGGCAATGGAGATGGAGTCAGTTTGCTATCAGGTTGGATGAGGTCAAGCTGGCAATTACATGCAATTTGTCTGCAAGAATATGGTAATTAACTGTGATAAATCTGTTGCTGTCTACATTAAACAGATTTTTACACAAACTACTTACATTCAGAGTCGAGCCCGAAAGCTCGTAGATTTGAAACAGAAATTGCAATGTAGCTGCTGCAATTTAATTGCAAAATGACATAGGTGCTTGTCAACCTTGCTGTTATATAGGAACATAACGAGAATAGAACCAGTTGGGTTTAGTCCTCTTTTGCAAAGAAACTGATTGCAGGCGAGTTGTGTCTCATCAGTGCAGACTGACTCAAACTGATTATGATACGTTGTCAGTGTGTCTGCATTTATAAATTAGATGACAATTATTTGCAAACCTTCTGCAATCTGTGAGAGTAATAGCAGTTAGTCAGAGTCCGACAATGGTTGTTTGATGACAGATTTCCTCCCACCAGGCAAACTGCAAGCACCGAGAGGTTGAGTGCTGAACCTCTGAGCAGCCACTTAGTTACCACAACTACTTGCAATTGGTTTTCAACAGTAAAAAAATAATAATCTGTGTGATCACAAGGTAATTACCATTCCTTTCTAGTTGCAATGAGGTTGCAGTCTTATTTTTAATCTAGCATGATTAGTGTAAAAGCTGTTTAGAGGCATTTTGTTAAAAGGTACACTGGGAACACAATAATTCTATTTTCCAACACACATTACGTTGTAGATCTTGAAAGATGATTTAAAAATAGTTCTTCACTTGCTACCCTGTGGTGCAAGGAGACAGCGTAATGTAGGGTAGCTATGAGGGCAAGACAGACAAAGAGGCATCTTCATCAAGATGAATCTTTCCACATTGTTGTTCCACATAAGTTACATTATCAACTAGTGGCATTTGATCAATGTTTTGAAATTACAAGAACAATTTGGAAAATTAGCACCAGATTTTTCAAAAGAGGACTTGACAGCATGTAATCAGTATAGTATATGATTATGACCCAAATTAGTAAAGTATTTTAGCTTTTAGGGATTATTTGGAAATGTGTTTTAGGAACCAGCCATCAACAGCAAAACAATTACACTGTCAACCAGGAGAAATCCTTACAGTTAACTGATAATCAATAGATAAAGTAGTGTATCGTCTGATTAGTAATACCAATTACAATAAAGAGGAAAAGCTATGTATTGGAAAAAAGTGTATATGCACAAAAATATACCTCTGCATAATCACCACATACAAGTTTATGAATCAAATGATGTTGTGATACACTTCTGTCAAAACAGTATCAGCTATATGTTCTCACTATCAGATGTGATTAGAGACCTTGAAACATGAGCTACATCAAAATTGTTGCAGACCTACATTTTGGTAGTTGACCAATCTGCAAATTTTATTTTTTTTGATTAGTCAGCAATTATTTCAATAACTCTCAACTTCACTTCAAGTCTGCCCACCTGTGAATATCACCCTGTTGGCTCTACCCAAAGAAAATGAAAGTAATGACACAGAAAACATACGAATATGGAAATAATCCAATTTATTTTTTAACATTACTCAGTAGGACAGAATAAAAATGAAGTAAATAAAAATAAATAAATAAAAATTAAAGTGCTAGTAGTATTTAAACAAACAAACAAAAAAAACAATGTGTAAACTAAAAATGTCTCTCCGTAAGTTCAAATAAAGCTTCAAATTAAATCAAAAAGATTTTATTTTCCAGTCCAAAATAACATCTAGAAGAGATTTACGATTCGAAATAAACGCTAATATTAATGTTAAAGAAAAAAGGGAGAGTGTTGCTACTCCAGTTTAATGTTTTTACTATCGTATTTCACTCATTAGCTAACACAACTGAAATGGTGTTTGCTTAGCAAGCATCTTCCATGAGAAATTTCCGACAGGCAAGCTAACACAAACATTAACATAAACATAAACGAGGTATCAACGCGACGCAACGTAACTCTCTAAAACTGACCCGTTTAGAGTTAACGTCACCGCACCAGGGTGCTGACGGATATGCTCTTGCGCTGCAGTAGTGCTGTCGTGAAAGGTTTTGCACAGTCAGCATTTAACTTTCAAATTTTTTTGCATTTTCTCCCCTCTTCCCCAACCCAGCTGTTTTACTTTTCGCGCTACGTTCTTCTTCGTTAGTACCGAATGCCGTATTGGCAGACCTTATAGGCGACACTGCCCCCATAGCTTCCTATAGTGTATTGCAGTTGCAAAAACATATTTACGTGGTTCTAGAATATGACGCATCGACGAATTTTTATAGTCGATGTTATCGATTATGTCATCGAATCGTTGTAGCCCCACCTGAAACTATAAATAGGAAATTTATATACTGCATGTTTTGCTTTTTATTGTAATCTGTTAATTCTCGATTTTGAACTTTGTGAATCATATGTTTTGTATAATATCCTGTATGTATTGTATTGAGATGGCTGCAGTTTCTTAATCTAAATCTAAGAGAAGGCTCATATAGATCTCCACCAATGCAAATGTTCTATTTTATGTTAATGTTGTTTTAATGCAGTTTTAACAGCAGTCTAGAGAATTTTAGTGTTTGGAAATACCTCTAAATACTAATGCTCCTTAAGTATATTTGGTCTCTTGGGGGGAAAGGTTATCAGTGTAACAATCATTGCAACATATATTCAGTTTTTTACAGGATTACATGGACACTGTAAATTCTACCATGCGTTAAACATTTCTGTAAAAACTGTACTGGATAATTTAAAGAGTGAAATGTGTTTTTCATGACTTTCTCAGATCAAAAGGATATTTTTGGGAATGTGAGGTCAATTAAAAGGCCGGTAGTAGTGAAATCCTAAAATAGCTGGAAATATGTAATGGTTGATGAAACTTAACCAACATAGGCAAGTGTTAGCTGCTTACTTCCAGGCAGCTTCATATGTCACCAAAGACACATTGTATAAAAAAAAAAAGTGCCAATTTATTGTGTCAACATCATCTCGCAAACTTCTGTTGTACATATTTTATTTAGTATTACTTTTTTTTCGTATTTTGACCTCTTACTTGTTGTAGTACTGAACCCTTATACAGCATGTATGATTGTGTTAGATGTGGTTGTTTACATATCACAGTGCAAACAATATCAGTGGCTATATGAACACTCATACCTCAAAATTTTACCTCTGAAGTGTTGAAGGAACATTTCCTTCCAATTTTCTTCACTGAGTATTGTGTATTTGATTTGTCTTCATCTCAGAGTTTTGATTTTGTACATATTTTTTCATATCTCATTATTTCTGCAACAAGTTATATAAATGGGGACCTCTTTACGGATCTCTCTATATAACATCGGGATTAATTAAACCTAAGTCATTTGAAAGATTTATCATTGACAAAACTCGCTGAAAAGTATTCTATCACATTAATTTAATTATGTTGTTGTATAAGAGGTCTCTTATCATTTTTCTGTCATATCAAAATAAGTATGTCCCAGGACTAGTTTAACATAGTTTAAATAGTTTAACATTACCTTATGAAGATTTTTTGTAGAAATGTTTTGAGCCTGCTATATTTAATTAGGAAAAGGGTATTATTTCTTTTTATGTGTAACACAAATTAATGTGCACATTTCTGTGCAAATGTGTTTTTTTGAGGATAAATAAAATGCAGCATTATTTTTTCATTGATTGATTTAGTTGTTGTGTTAGTTCAAACATGTAAATACAAATATCTTATAGAAATATAAACATCGTATATGGATATCTTTGGTATTCATGTCCAGATATTTTTCAAAAAATGCTGTTTTTTTTTCTATGTAATCCATTAAATGCATACATCGCCAAAGGCAGGACTGAAATGATGTGTCTTTTTTTTTTTTTTTGCATTAGTGCGTCACTTTATTCTTAAGTGTGAATGTTTGTTATTTTATACATGCAATGAGTAGATTTAATGGGGTCAACCATCCAAAGCAATGGGCAGCATGCAAAAGAGGTAAAGAAGAGAGTGCAGTGGATGGAAATGAGTGCCCAGGTGGCTTCTGACAGAATGACAGCAGCAAGAGTAAAAGACAAAAAGACTGGAGGAGGAGCTGGAGTTCACACAAGTAAAGATGCTAAGATCTTCACTGGGACGGACCAAAATGGACAGAAATAGAAATGAGTAAATCAGAGGGACAGCTCATGTTGGGCAGTTTTGAGACAGAGTGTTGCAGAGTGTTGGTGTGACAGACCAGGATGCTAGAGACAGGGCAAGATGATGACAGTGAGAGATAGATGATCTGCTGAGGTGTCCCCTTAAAAGGAGTAAGATTTGTCATTATAGATGTATTAGATTATTTCACTTATTATTATTATTATTATCACTCCTGCCATTGTTGCGCCCCTCTGCAACCTCTATTCTCTTTGCAGTGGCAGTGCAAAGAGTTGTCAACTGAGTCTTCAGTTGCCAATTGACCACACATGGCATGTGAATAAAGGCATGCTTGAGGCAGGCTGTGGAGGCACACCAGTTTTGTTTTCATGATCTTTGTGGTACCAACTGTTTGGCTTTTGAGCCTGGTCATAAAATAAATGGGGGCTCGTCCGGGATATTTTGGACTTAGATATTTTTGTGGAGACTAAACATCAGAGGATTTTTTTTAGTGGGTGAGTGATGGTTAAGGTGTTTACTGTGATTGAGCTAACTCTCTTTAGTACGTTTCAGCAGGGTGGTTGTGCTGCCCCACATCTCTTGTCTGCTGCCCGCTCTCGAGTTTGCGTTTAAAGTTGCCTCAAGCCTAGTATGTCACCGAAGACAAGGTAGGTAAACTTAGGTTTCTCTTGTTAGTATATGATGCTGGGAGTTGCTCAAAGTAAACCAGTGGCACCAAAATCTACAGGAAATTGAGATCAGGTTGAGACCATTGATTGGTTATGGTTTTATGTTTGAAGCAGGTAAGCCTTTTGTTGAATTGGCGTATAATGTATAGTCATAGCTGTGTGTACATCTAGTAGATCTATGTTTATTGGTGCCAGATGATGAGGTTCCTGTTGTTTTCATCAAGATTCAGAAGAACATGCAACATTTTCCAATCTCCTGTTGTCTAGTTTTTGTGAGCTTGTGTCACTTGTAGCCTCAGTTTGCTGTTCTTAGCTTAAAGCAATGGTACCTGGTGTGGTCTTCCGCGGCTGTAGCTCATCTGCTTCAAGGTTGTGCGTTGTGCATTCAGAGGTGCTGAAATATTTAGACCAGTCTTTCTGGAACCAACAACCATGCCACGTTAAAAGCAAACTCACTTAAGTCACACTTTCTTTCCCATTGGATGCTCAGTTTAAACTTCAGCAAACAAACTCAAAGTGTAAAGTATGGGCAACTGTTCTTCCTTTTCAATTTAAAGCTACAGAAAATGAAATAGCTCATTCAATACTGAGCTGCAAACCAGGAGAATACCGACATGAAACAAAAAAATGAATTGTGTGGTATTTGGGGCTGAAACCCAAAATATACTGTCTGGGAGACATGTAAGACCAATATGAACATGTGCTAAACTGGTACAAAATGGGACCTTTAATGCTCTCATTTTCTGTGATAGCTTTCTTCACATTCATTTTTAATTTTAGTTTATGCTGCTGTCTATAGACAGCTTTTACTGTGGTCTGAAACCTTTGTAGTTTATTCAGAAAATCAAACTGTAACTTTGCGACCATAAAAAGTCTTTAGAAAGAAGTGAGGTATCTATGAGTCATACAATTAGTTTGCCTCTCAGGAAATTAAATACACTTAGTTTTAACCATACTTCACTTCTGCCAAAGCAAAGCTAATTTGGGGCTGATAATTATTTTGATTCTTTGAAGTAGTGAGTAATATTTGACTTTTATTACTTAAAGTGTGCGTGTCCACATATCTTTCTGTAATACCAGCAAACCTTTGAGTCGTGTACTCAGAAAAGATGCTGTGAGGTGATAACAATATCTATGGTTTTATATGAGTATGCCACATAGAATAAGATGGAAAGCATACTGATTTAGAAATATTTTCACTTTGCTTTTGAGAAAATGGAAAAAGTCAGTGGCCTCTGAGAAGTAGTTTGTCTCCCAGGAAATTAAGTACACTTACAGCCATATGTCACTTCTGACAAAGAAAAGCTCATTTGGAGCTGATGATTGTTTTGATTCTTTGAACTAGTGAGTAATATTTCACTTTTATTACTTAAAAAAGTGTGTATGTCCATATATCTTCCTGTAACACCAGCAGACCTTTGAGTCAAGTACTCAGAAAAGATGTTGAGTATTTACTCATGGAAAGTGCAATAAATGGTATTGTTGCTCTCGTCATACTAGCTAACAAAAGCATAGTGTAAGCAAAATACTTTCAAGGTGACAAACTCGGGGCATGGCTTCACTTAAAAGATCTTTGGTTTTTCCAAAACTTTTGATCACAATCAGGGAATATAAGTAGGTAACTAAAAATTTCCCAGTTACCATTAGTTTGTACAAACTGAAACTCCCCCAAGGCCTCAGTATGCCACAAATGCACTCTGTACAACATGGAGTCTCATACAACAGTTTATAATATCCAACATCTGTGGACAAGCTTTCTGTGAAGGCACTCACAGTGTTGTAGAAGCTGTTATGTGAAAACTGATAAAGTTTCAAACTGGCACTATTTCTCACTTCCACACACATAGTAGTAATGACTACTAGACTGTTGGTTTCAGAAGGTTGTCGACTGTAGCTCCCCATATCCAGTGCTGACCAGGCAGGTACTTCCTCTGACTCATACCGAGGCTTTTACAGTCCTCTCACTCTCTGTGGGAACTGTGTTTGGTTGGCTTTACAGCTCACACTGTGTGATGAGTGACTGGAATGGCAAACATTTTGCCAGCTTTAAGAACAAAAGGGAACTATAAATATAGAAGCTAAATAGTTCTGAAAAGAGATGTATGTAGACACCAGAGGTGTATACATTGTTATACATTACTTTGTGTATGTATAGAATACACCTAACTAGGCATTTCTGCCTGAAAACTGATAAGAGAGACCATATATATATCCAGGCCCGGTTAAAAGTTTCTTATAAAAATATCTATAGTTTCATATGAGTTTGGCAAATACTGATATACAAATATTTTCACTTTGACTTTTCCATTTTCTCAGCAAAGTGGCCTGTGAGAGCTGCTGTTTGCTGGTGTCTCCAGCTTGAATAATCTGCTAAATGTAGCAGAGCCACTAAAAATCAGTAATGAAGCTGTTTTGTTCATTTCTCACAAATGCACATATATTCATCGGCCACTTTGTTAGCTACGCCTGTTCAACCACTTGTTAATGCAAACATCTTATTAGCCAATCACATTGCAGCAACTCAGTGCACTTAGGCATGCAGACATTGTCATGATGACTTGTTGAAATTCAAACAGATGGAGAATAAATGAGGAAGAAAGGTGATTCAGTTGACTGAATGTGGCATTGGGTTTTTTGTGCCGTACAGACTGGTCTGAGTATTTCAGAAACTGACCATCTGCTGGGATTTTCCCACACAAGCATTTCTAGTTAAGAGAATAGTCTGGAAAAACAACATATCCAGTAAGTGGGAATTCTCTAGGTAACAATGCCAGAATGCTTTGAGCTGATAGGAAGGCACAGTAACTCAAATGACAATTTGTTACAACAAAGTTACTGTGTGCCTGTATACCTTTGACGGAGAAGATGTATGCCACTTAACTTTCAAGTCTTCTATGTTTGTGGCTGAAATCACAGACAAAACTGTAGCTTGTTAGCTACATCTTATTGGAACATTGCAGGCGCCCATAAGAATGTCATCCTGGCTGAAGATTGAGCCCTGAGGTACAGGTAACCACAGGCGTGCTTTACACTTATGTGATCCAACTGATTTCCATTGTGCCCTCTTTAAACGTTATGTGATGGGACTGATCAGCAGGCAGCTACCAGGTTAATCTCATCATGAATTAATATTTATTTTGGCCTCCTCCCGAGAGATCTGACGCTGGGTGTGCGTGTGCATATTGTGTTTTATATTAGCCGAAGTCCCAAATCCCAAACCACCTAATTTCCTGGCTTTGTGCCTGCACTGCACAGATAAATTAGCCAAGCCCCAGCCCCCTGTGTCGCCCCTCCATGCCACCCACTCCCCCCTTTGAGAGAAACTATCACCAAAGGTCCATCTTATTTATACAGGCAAGGGAGGAATAAACTCTATCAGCTCTGAGGTACATTATATAAACATTCATCTTCCACTCGGTGCAGATATTAATAGAAGTTGTACTGCTTTTTCAATGAGGCAATTAACAACCTCAACCGGGAGGAGTTGGGGGTAGTGGAACACATCTGTGTCATGAGATAAATCTGGTTTGTGATGTGTTGTGCTACAGCCTTTACAAAGGTTTGTATTTAGGCTTCTCACTGACTAAGAGTCCTGTACTGCAGGATGAGGGTGGTGGCTGGGAATTCATTATGTGTATACTTATCTTATTTAACCCATGAGTACTCAGTGTCAGTGAGATCTACAAACCCGTCCTTCATTTTAAACATAACTACATGACCTCATGTTAAACATGATATTATATAACAAAAGGCCTATAGGAGCTATGCTGGAGTTACTAGTTAAAATTTCCCTTTGGATATTCCTCACTTTGGATAATAGTCTGTTGAAA